AAGTGAAAAAAGAGAAAAAACAAATTAGTGAGTAGGCCAGCAAGTTTTGACACCACCATCTTTGCCGATTTTTCATGCTTTTGTTGCTGAACAGAATGGCTTCAAAATTAATAGGGAGATACCTTACATCACAAGGAACTCACAAAAAAATTTTGAGAAAAAAATAGTCATATTTAGGTGTCAAAAGTTTTTTTTACGGGGTCCGAACCTCTTCAGGTTCGGGGGTCCGCTTAGGGGCCTCCGTACGTTCAGCATGGCAACCCTGTATATATATATATATATATATATATTTGTGACGATATATATATATATATATCGTCACAAACAGAATATATATATATAGCGGTTGCCTTCAGATCGCGGTGGTGGGGTGTTAGATATAAAGGCACGTAAGCAGCCGATTCATTCGGCTGTTTTTTTTTTTTTTTTTTTTTTTTTTTAAGGCGAACAAAATGTGATTGGTAGGTAGTGGTGGGCCGGGTATTTTAATGCTTTTCGCAGATTTGGAAGCATACTCGAAAGTTGAAAGATGCAGTCATGCCGTATACAAAATCAGATCTGAAGAGGTCATTAGCCCTGAATAGTGTTTTGGTTTAAAGGGCAGTCTGCATTCTACAATCCTTTCCCAGAGATGTGAATCTGAAAGTCTAGGTCATTCCATTGAGGAGCAAAAAAGGCAGAAACGAACTAAACATGGTGTTTTGGGAAACATAACTATCGTAAGGGTAGATGAACACAGGCAGGTCTGACTTATGTGGGACAAACAATTTTAGTGAGGAACATTACTGCTAGTAGGAGCTTAGTCTGAAGTCATATGTCTGTCCTATATATATATATATATATATATTGTCACATATATTATATTTTACATTTTCTCCACCTTTTTTTTTTTTTTTTTTTTTTTTTTTTTTGAGAAAAATTGGGATGCAGTCGTACTGCAAGAGGAAATGTTTGTTGTGGTTTGGATGGTGTATTTGCATGCTGCCTGTTCTGCTTGCTGGTTTCCGCTTTTTTTTTTTTTTTTTTTTTGGATATTTGAGAAGCATATTGCAAGGGGAGAACAATGATAACAAGGGGTCGGGTTTGTTTCATTTAAAAAAAAAAAACAAAAAAAAAGTCGGAGTAGAATTGTATGTGCATACATTTATTATGAGGTTTTCCAGAAAAGACACGTATGGTTGCAAGATGGAGGGCTATCAGATTTGTCTCCCATCTTGACAACTTAAAATCTTACATCATGCTTTTCACGTGGCACCTTAGGTTTGAAGTGATCGCCTTCTTATGCAAAATTACAATTATTACGAGTCAGCAGATATTACCAAAATCCATGGTAATTGAAAACAGTATGAGACGAGTCACCAGATAGGTGATTGACAATCCATGCGAATTCAGGATACTGTCCTGGGACTCCTGGCCATTTAGTGAAGATTGTAGGGAAGGGAGGGGAGTGGGTAGAGTTGAGGAGAGGAAAAGGGGAAGAGAAGAGGGGAAGAGAAGAGGCGAAGAAAGAGTGGAAGGGACGAAGGAGAAGAGGGGAAGCGAAAAAAGGAAGAGATAGGTAGGGTCAAAGCGGTGTATCACATTATGGTAAGTGAGTGAGACGAAGTTTTTAGGGAGGGAGAAAGGGAGGCTGGGTGGGGTGCCTGAAGAGGGCAAGGAAGTAAGGGAGGAAGATGAGGAAGAGAATAACGATTATAGAGAGAAGGAAAAAATAGTCTAGGCATCTAAAAACCTGCGGCCTTCTTCTCCGACGAGGAGTTTAAGGAGGGGTAAGGTTGACTGTGAGAGTAGGAGCAGGATGGGGTGACAATGGTTGCGGACGCGGAACGATGAGCAACTCTTGGACAGGAATCGGTCGGCCAGGAGAGGGAGATTCCGATTCAGATGTGTAGTCGACAGATCTACGGCGGGGTCTTCGTCTTGAGGAAGATTCATTGGTTTTCTTCTTCGGCGGCATCGTGATCCTCCTGATCGTGGAAGGTGAGGATGTGCGTTGCTTCCCTGCGCTTGATAATGAGACGGGGAAGCGCCGGCTGCGAAGGATAGCGGGGGTCCCTTGGGAAGTCTGGGGCCGATCTGTACTTGGTGACGGATCCGCAGGCGTTATCCCTGATGAGCCTAAACCAGGGTCCTCACCCTGTGATTGGAGAAGCTGGAAGAGAAGGAGGTGCGACGTGTCCGTCTTGGAAAGCTGCTTAAAGAACCCCTTGAAGAAAAAGGCGAGTGGCGAGACGAACCCTGGAAGGCGTCCGATAGAAGGTAGGTTCTCCGAGAGGCTTAGCAACGCGCTGTTAACCCAGAATCTCGAGGATTCTTCTCTTGCGGACGTGATGTAGAGTTTGAAACAGAAGAAATTGTGCAGGTCGTGCTCGTGGTGCTCCTTGAAGTTCGTCCATTCAGCACTTGCCCTTAATTGCTCCTGCGTAGAAAGAGAATGTAGACTCAGAGTCCCGATGAACATTAGAGAAAGTAGGAGATTGGAATAAAAAGAGTGGGAGAGAAGTTCGAGCGCGTGGTCCCTCAGAAGGAAGAAAAACGACTGAGCGCCATTCTGAAAAGTACAGAAGGCTGTGTCTTCCACGAATTCCAGAAGGTCGCTAGTGACGAGGTTAGACCCAAATCTCTGCTCAACAATCGTGGACTGAAGACAAGTGAGAGCACTTGGTAGGATAAGAAGGAGAGGGAAGAGATGGAGAGGAAGGAGTGAAGCTGTTGGAGGGTCGAGAACGAACATTCTTTGGATGTTTTCGTCGGCTGAGATAGGTGGGGAAGTGCTGGAGGAGAGCAGTGGAGCGATAAGAGACAAGAAGATGCTACTAAGTTTCTCATCAGAAGGTTTTTCATCTGATTGGAGGGTGAGGTTGGAGGGAAAGAATGAGAGAAGGAAGGGGTCAAAGAGCGGGGATTCGGCCGTAGCGAAGGAATGGAATGACGGGGAAGTGGAGGGAGAGTTGGATTTTTCACGCGGGTCGACTTGGGGTTGGTGGGGGATGACAGGGACTGAGGTAGTGGGACGTTCTCCCAGACCGCAGTCAGACGGGTTCATGATGGATTCAAAACGAGAAGTAGTGAGGTGAGGACAGACTTACCGAGGGTGTAAAGACAGACAGGGGGGGACTGACCGCGACTGGTGACTTGACCAACTTGGATGACGATGACGACGACTGGTGACGACGACGACCGATAACACAACGAACTTGGGTGACGGCGACCAGTTCTACGGTGAGAGAGATTACCCCCGATGCCCCAAAGCACTGCGATCAGAGAGACCACTTCGCCAAAACAAGGCGAGGAGAGGAATCGACGACTGTGGGACCTGACCCCTGTGTGGCGTGCGCGCAGGTTCGCATTTGCAATGAATGCTGCGAGCAGCCGGGCTCTGGAGGGCGTGGCATGTGAGGGCACGCAAGCTATTGTCGCCGGCCAGTCACCAGTTACTTATAACGTTGCTGGTCAGAGCAGTGGGACCGTCCGGACCGGGGGAGACCGTGCTACAGCCTGGGCAAGTGTCAAGTCGTCCCACTGGAAACCGTTGATATTTGTTGAGTGATTTGGAGGCTCTAGATTTTCAATAACTGGCCCGGGTGATGAATGCAGGCCGTGGATGTAGGGCGTTGTTGGTCCAGATGCATAGTCCCAGATGTGAGAGTCCCGGGAATGGAACCAAAACTGCAAACCGGTTCGGTCAGTTGATGTCGACCGAGGATAACCGCATTGATGGGCCTGTGCCGTCCCGGTAGTATGCAAATGAGAAAAGCTGTTGAAGGCACAATGCTCGGACCTAGTCGGTCCTGGCTCCAGGTGCAGCTCCCCACCAATGGACGGGAGTCATCCACAAGACCCCTCGGTTCGGCTGGTTCTCATACAACCACTGGACGGCAGGAGTCTAAAGGATGCTTCAAAAAAAAAAGAAAAAGGATGGGCAGCCAGAAAAAAACTGAGAATGCAACAGAGACCTCTTCACCCCGCTACTGGGCGCCTGACTGGGCCTCCTGCGTCCTGCTTAGGGGCCTCCCCACACCACTCGAAATGTGGAAAAGACAAAAATGTGGCGGGTGCATCTGGCCATGTTCTTAGCAGGAAGTTCATTCTCATTTTGCACATTTCGAGAGTGGCGTGGCGATGCCCTAGGTGCATCTGCTTCTCGTGGGCTTGACTTCTGTACCATGCCCCTGCCACCTCAGTCTCTTCCATACCACTGCGTGCGTGTCCATCTGTGTTCGAAAAAAAAACAAACTTCCTGTAAATGACGACATGCATGAGCTATTGCGCATCGCCACACCACTCACGGAAGGCGAAAAGACAAAACCGTTTGCGGAAGATGCATGCTCCATTTTCGCAAATTCTGGGAGTGGTGTGGCGCGAGGCCCGTTGTAGCCGAGCTTCTTTGTCCTCTTATTGCGCATCAGGTTGTGAAGAATCCATCCGTAATTCTGGTGTAGGTCGTACTGGAACATCCGTTTTTATGTTGGTCCCAATGGTCCGTGAGACGCTTGTTTCTCGGCCCTCCGTGGTTCCACGTACGGAGGTAATTATGTTCCCCACGTGCAGTGGAACATCCGCCTTCGAATTGGTCCGTGGGAACTGCCGGGGTTCCCGGTATTTCTCCCCGAGGCTTGTTTCTTTTGTCTCATTGTGCAGTGGAACCTCCTTCACATGAGGCCATAGAAAAGGCCGGTTTCCGTTACTGCTCCCTTTTGGGTTGGATCCACCCGAGGGTGGGTAGCGTAAAACGTATGTGTTCATATAGTCCGTAGACTATTCCCGTCCTTATCGACGGAGATGCTAACCTTCTCTCGGCTCAACGAACACACTGCTCCCTTTTCGAGTCCCCTGTTTCCCCAACTCCCGGCCCTCAGCGGTTCCACCTACGGACACAATGATTGTGGCCTATTCCCTCTCCCGTCCGTCAGAATCCAGCTGACACATATAAGTACCCATCATTCACACAATCTCGGCATCAGTGTTCCTGGAGTAGTCTCATTTTCCTAGCGCCGTGCCGAAGACGTCGACTGATTCCGTGACCAGCCATCCATTACCCGCCAGTCGCTCAGTTCCTCTTCTCCTTCGTGTTCTTCTTCTTCTTCTTCTTTGCTGTAGCAGACAGATCGAGGAGCCGCTTGTTGTTTGAAGCAGTCGCTCAGTTCCTCTTCTCCTAAGAGTGGCGTTTCACTTCTGCCTTACTGATTAGTTCACCACCTTGTTGTTTTCGTTAGCAGACAGATCGAGGAGCCGTTTGTTGTTTGAAGTGGTCGTTTGTTGGAAGATTACGCTGTAAACATGACTCCGCGTAGTGTTCCAGCAGGTGCTTTCGAGATGGCAATTCCAGTGCCAGTACAGAAGGATGGCCACGAAGTCAGCGCGGTGAAGAAGCCGTGCCTTCAGCCGGTAGAGGCGGTCCTTAAGGTCGCCAACCCGGGTCCTTTGGGCCTGACTGCCTTCGCTGTTACGACCTTCACTCTGTCTATGTTCAATGCTGGTATCTTGCCTAGATCACTCGAGAAGGTCGCTGTTCCCCTGGGTTATTTTTATGGAGGGTCTGTGCAGGTGCTGGCTGGACTTGCTGAGATATTCGCTCGGAATACTTTCGGCGCCACCGCGTTCTGCTCTTATGGCGCATTTTGGATTGCTTTTGGCTATTATGTGATGGAGATCGTTCCGAGCTTCGATGCGCCGGAAAAGGAGAAAATGCACCTCGCCACAGGATTGTTTTTGTTCACGTTCACGGTGTTCACGACGTACATGGCCATCGCCTCAACAAGGACGTTTCGTGCGCTCACCGCCGTCTTCGTGTGCTTGGCTCTCACCTTCTTCCTCCTCACGATCGGCGAATGGGCAGAGTCGGACGGAGCCAAGAAGGCCGGTGGCTACTTCGGGATCGTCACGGCCATCCTGGCCTGGTACTCTTCCTTCGGGCTAGTCCTGCTAGACACGTGGAAGTACGAGGCCATACCGCTAATGTTCTACAAACACCGGCAGGAGTAATACTATGAACGATGGCTGCTTTATATGTTCTGCAAATCGCGGCCTTTATACAAAGACGTCTTTCGATCAGGTCGTTTTGCGACATTGGACTCTCGGTCTTTGTATATGTCTGTCTTTGTGGGGAGAGAGAGAGAGAGAGAGAGAGAGAGAGAGAGAGAGAGAGAGAGAGAGAGAGAGAGAGAGAGAGAGAATTCTTTTTGCGGGTTGTGAATACAGGGAGAGTATCATGGGGAAATTGGGGGGAATTGCTGACTTTGGGCACTCCTTCTGGTGTCTTCGGTGTGCGATTCTCCACAGTGACTTAGAATTTGTGGCCGACTTGATTTTATGCTCCGTCGCTTTGTATTGCGTGCAGATGTGGCTTTCTAGCCCGTGTTTGGAATTACGCGATCGTGGTTGCGGAGTTCTAATAGGTCACGCCGATCGGTTGACAAAAAATAGAAGTAGCGAGTGCGAGAACACCCTGAGCGGGGTGAAGCTGCACTTAAATTCAATTAAGTGAGGGTCAAGAAGTTTTCTCGCTGTATGCAAGGGACGATGGAGTTCTGGTTTCCAGCAGCTGCAGCTTCCCATTATCAGAAAGGAGCCATCTACATCGGCTAGACCTCGACCTGGCTGGGGGTCCCCTACTAACCCCGGGATAACAGCCTACCTAAATGATATCATGTTCTTGTTCGAGAACAGTAGGAAAAAGAGGCTACGTTTCGTCTCGTAACAATGACAGCTGAGATTTCTTTGGTGGCCGCTAATTGTTGCTTAGAGTTAGTGTCATTCTTTTCTCAAGCTCGCTAGTCTCGAGCTTGTTTCCTAATCAAAGGCATTTCAATTGGAGTCTCCGTTCTGGAGGACATGCTCATGATTTGAATTTACTGTCCGGTAGAGGTGAATTCTGTTTATCGGCCTAGTCGAAGGCATTTGGAGTCTCCGTTCCGGCGCACATGTTCATGCTTTGAGTTTACTGTCCGCTCGTCGAGGTGAATTCTGTTTATCGGCGTAAGTATTCCTCTGAGAGGGTCCGTTAACAGCCGTGAATCCGCCGGCGAAGAAATCTGTGAAATGACAGCTCGATGCGTGAATTGCCTGTGTGGACACTTATTGCAGATAATAATTTTGACCCTTTTAGTCTTTTGACAGTCTTTGAGGGATGCGTAGTCTTCTCGTCTCGTGAGCGATCAAGTTGCGCACTGATTGCGGGCGGGAAGTAAGGAATCCGATGCGAATTCAAGCTCATGGATTCGCACACAATGTGTTACTCGGTTTCTTGTGCGGAATGAAATTATTCTATTTTCGTTGTCGTATTCGAACTGCTTACGCTGTTCTCTATCTCTGTGTATCTGTTCTCTATCTGTGTATTTCCTTCTCCCCACCTGCCCTATTCGCATCATCTTCTGCTCTCCTTCACACACCGAGAGAAGGATGCACAGGCACGCACACACACACACCCACACACACACGCACGAGAGTTTCTCAGACTTACGGCCATTGTTGTCAGGGATTTGGAGCGACGGTCTGATAGGGATTGCGAGGTTGGTGTGAGAAAAGTCGCGCACTTTTCTCAGGGGTATCATTAACCGTGTGCGACGTCCTGAGTCCTTATCCATCCGTCAAATGCATCCTGGGCAGACTGTCGGTTTAACCTCCTGATGGTACAGTCGTACATTCTTTGTGGAATTGTCAATTGCGAACATGACCACACACACACACACACACACACACACTGTGACACACATATACAGAAAACACGCGCAGAGTGAGAGGGAGAGGGAGCGAGATATTCTGTTTTTTCGGTCCACCTGAGTGTCTGATTGCTAATTCCATCTTCTCGCAGTGTTCTCTAGACCGGCATTCTCACGTAGAACGGAATTCAGTTCGAACGAGTGAGTTTGCTTCCCTGTGTGTTCGCCTGCTTTGAAAAATTGGCATCTACGAAAGTGCGCGCGTATGCAGCGCTTCTGGGCGTGCGCTGTGGCGGACAAGTGCGTGTGGTCGAATCAGGGTTCTTATGTTTAACGGGTATGTGCGAGCTAATCTTAGCGCTGCGGTTATCTCGAAAGGGAAATTTACTGTTTTCTTGATTTTGTTTAGTGCTTTTCTGAAGTCGTCTGCCAAGTGCAACACCTGACAAGCCCGAGTGCCGTGATACATCTCCTCCCCCCCCCCCCCATCTCTCTCTCTCTCTCTCTCTCTCTCTCTCTCTCTCTCTCTCTCTCTCTCTCTCTCATTTTCTATGTTGATGATTGTCAACGTAAGTAATTGGACTGCCTGCAGGAGCAAGCGCACGTTTGTGCATTGTTTTGGCGCACATACGTCCTCTGCTGGTTGGACACTTCGACAACGACGGCAATCATGGAAAGCGTACGTTCGGGTGAGTGATGACTCTTTCCTTGCGACGGGAAAACCGTTGATCAGAGCCATAAGAAGATCCAACACCAAATGATTATTATCATTCGTATTATTTCATTTTTGTCCTTCGCCGAAACGATCCGCTGTTGGACGATCTTACCGAGGTGATGCGAATTTTTTTCCCTTTTTTGTCGTGTCTTTTTTTTGCTTACTTCGAAATTCGAACCCCTCCCCTTCAGAAAATTCCACCCACCCTTCAAAATCGTTACTTTGAACCCGCCCCATCCTCACAAGACCCCACCCACCCTACCTCTCGTCAAATTGCCCAGCTCACCCCCAATCCCCTGTCCTACCTTAGGGTTGACCACCTAGGACCACCCCTTGGAATGCAACGATCTGCTGTTCCCGAAGGAAAAGGCAGTGCCGCAGTGGAATTCAATGATTTGGGCCTCGCTCCACTCCCTCCGTTGTGCCCTGTTTGCTCATGTTCTCGATTGCAATGATTGTCAATGACTGTGACAGGCGGTGGGCCGAGTTGCACCTCGCTATCTGCCAGCATTTGAATGCATCAGGACAAATTTCGTATTCAGATTCATCGAGTGTGGTGCAACTAGGCCGTTTGCCGTCTTTTTCATCTACTTGCGGGAGGTTTCCTAACCTCTAGAAACCGTGGTCAAGTTTACGACCCCAGAGGCACAATCCCACTAGGTAACGCGCGTAGTGAGCCAGCTTTGACGAAGTCCATCCCGCCCGCAGTGAGCCACGCTGGCTTCCCGATCTTTTTTTTTCTTTTTTCAGTAGAGTCACAAAAACGAGTTGTAATTGCACTGGGATAATTGGTAGAAAGAGCCCACGGCAAAACCTTTTCGGTTTTGGCCGCCCAAAGTTCGGCCGTTTGGTACTACCGGCCCAAGCAACTTTCCCCTGGGTGAAAGGTGCCTTCGCGCCGTGGCCACGTCTGCCTGGGCCTGTGTTTACCGGTTCAAGAATTTGGCGCCGTTTCTGCGCCAGATTCATGAACCGGTAGGGCCCTTCTTTTTCAAAATCCCGTACGTGGGCCTCATTCGATACTTCAGCGTTACCCCCGCCGGCCTCTTTTACATCACAATGAATGTGGCGCTGTTATGCGCCAGGTTCATGATCCGGTAGGACCCTTGGAGGGTCGCGTGGGCCTGTAGTACCCCAGATGCAAGTCATTGGGCCGGTAGTACCAAACGGCTAAACTTTGGGCGGCCAAAACCAAAAAGGTTTTGGCGTGGGGGCCTTCTACCGATTATCCTAATTGCACTGCTATGGGGCAACATACAGTTTGCAATTGCGGTTTGGGCACCCTACACCTGGCCAGAAAGCTGGGTTGTATACATTGCCCGGACTGCAATTCGAAACTGTATCTTGGCCCATAGTGCAATTATAAGTTATAACTCGTTTTCGTGACTCCCGCCTAGTTTCCTCTATTTAATTAATAATTTAATACCAATTAATTGCATAATCGAAATAGAGGCCGGGGACATCGAAGTTCAATGTATCAGGTTTCGCAGTCATATGGCAGCACAGTAACGATACCGTTTTTGATGAGAAAGACTGGACCAACAAGCAATTCCGCAGTACATTCTGTCTGTGGATGAGACGAGCCATTTATGCGGATTGGCGGAGAAAAGTCAGGTACCCTACGCTGTCACCCTCTTACCTGCAGTGGTTTCAAGAGACTTGGGCAGTTGGCAATACTATAGTGAAGCTGGAAGGTAACCGTATCTCCTTCGGTGGCTGGTTCCTCCAGGACTGATGGCGGAGAAAAGTCAGGTACCCTATGCTGTCACCCTCTGACTTGCAGTGGTTTCAAGAGACTTGGGCAGTTGGCAACACTAAGTGAAGGTGGAAGGTAACCATATCTGTGGCTGGTTCCTCCAGGACTGATAGGACGTAGATCGTTTATGCTTTACTTGTTCAAGGTTGTTTCTCTCAACCTGGCTTGCTCGGTTGTGCTCTGGTATTCCTCTGTTTGGGTCGCAGTAGAGAGACTCAGGCAGCTTTGGTGGAGAACAGAGGAGGGAGCTGTAATCCTCAAACTAACCTCTACCCCGCTGATAGGGGCAGAGCTGGATAATCTAGGCCGCAAGGCCGCCCTAGGATACGCAGCTATACGTAGCAAGGTAAAATGAAGAGAGTACATAGGTCCAACATTTAGTAGTAATAGATGAGATTTTGCCCTTTGGAACTTCTCCCCACCCCCTATAGTAGGTACTATTGTTAGCTTTGGCTTGATAACCTTCTTTTTAGACCCTAAAACTGAGACAAGTAGATAGAGGAGCACTTCGGGAAATGGAGTTGTAGGATTACCCCTGTTTTTAGGTTTGTGCGGCTCTTGAAGGCCGTGAGGAAAATTTCTTTTGTGACGTTGTTTTTGGGATTGTGTGGCTTTTAAGGCCGTGCGGGCTTTTTCGTTTTCCCCAGGGTTGGGGAATGTCCGAGCAGCGGTCAAGATTCGGCCATTTCTGCTACTAGACTATAATCCCCAACGCCTGAACCATAAGCTGGGTAATGGTCCCAGAGGTTACTCCCTTTTCCGGGTTGTTTTGTGGAGGGATTCCCGGCCTCCTTTTCTTACTTGGTTTTAATAAATTGCTAAGCTGATTTCTTAAAAAAAAAAAAAAAAAAAAAAAAAAATGTTCAACCCCGGGGGTATCTTACAGCATCAGTCAGCTTAGCTTACAGGCCCTTAGCGAAAAGTCACTCCCGCTGACTTTTCAGATCTTTGAACAAACTTCCTCTTTTACTACAGTCTAGTTGTTTACTGCGAAATAGCTTGAGTTTCTAAGTTCGTTGATAGGGGACTGGAGTCTACAAGCTTGGGCTGGCTAAACTGTATCTACTGTCTACAAGCTACTTGCTAAATACCTACAGCTGAGACTAAGACGGCCCAGCGGACCTGACCCTGCGGCCCCGACCCCAAAATTATTGGCACTCTCCTATGTGCTCCACTGCGACCCTATGAGCCGAGTGCCCTGGTTCGCCTGAATGACACTCTACCTCATTATTGCATACATATTACATAGTCCAAACCGAGTGCCCTGGTTTGGGCTATCGACTTTATCGCATTCTGTCAGCCTATTCTAGCTCTTTACTGTCCTCCTGGCCCTTGTCTCAGTGTCTTGAGTCTGAACTCTCACGTTCATGACCCAGTCGGATAGCACGAGGCCTCGGAAAGGAAGGATCGAAGCCAGACGATGGCTTCTGGCCCATGTGCTCTGAAACCATTGAAGTTGTCTACTGCTGCCTCTCCCTGCCCTTGCCTTCATCCACTGATCCACACTGCTTGCTATTTTCACTGCTTTCCTGATTTTCTCCTTGATTTCCACATCTGACAGCGGGCGTTTCTGGAAACTTGTCCTGTTTCTATCAGTCCAGACTCCAGATCACTTCGCAAATTATGCCCCTCATCACATGAGCAACATATCCCCACCCTTTCTTCCCCTGGAGTCCTGTCTG